ATTAACCGCGATATCCATTCGCGAAACTCGATTAAAAGCAATAGCAACAAACCCTGCAATCTCGTATTCACTGATTCTAATAGCAGGGTTTGCCCTCATCCACAAGTCACATGCATCATTGTACGCAGATTTAAATGGCTTCATGAACGTACGATCCAGTGGCTGTAACTTGTGGGTCGTGTGAGGTGGGGTGCTTAACATATGAATATTATTTTTTCTGGCAAACTCAATGACATCTAAGTCTTTATGACTAGCATGCCCATCTAGAATCAAGAGTACGGGATTCTGGGCTGTTGGATTAGAATATTGCACAAAGTGTTGCATCCATTTCAAAAATAATTCGGCATTCATCCAGCCGTTTGGTTGAGCTTCACCTACACTCTCATTTGGAGCATTAATCATTAGTCTTTCATTCATTCTGTTTCGTGGAAATATGAAATAAGGTGGTACGAACTGACCTCCAGCGCTCATTGCAAAAAGCACTGTAACGTTCTTTCCACGTTCTGCTGACGTAAGCTTTCCGACTTGCCTTTGGTTTTTAGTAGCTAACACTTTAGCATGTTTTTGAACAATGCTAACTCCAGTCTCATCACAGTTCCATATTTTATAAGGTGTGAATTTAAATCTCTCCATCAAAGTCTCAAGACCATCAAAGAATCGCATAACCTGAGGCCTGTTAAATCCTACTGCTCTCATTAAACTCGTTGATTCAGCAGTTCGCAATGATAAGTCACTATGTCTTTTCATAAACGAATAATAGTAATTTTTCCCTGCAGATTGTTTCTCTTTATTGAACTGGTGAGGTAACTTTAATTTCTCGGCCAGTTGGAAAGCGAGACGTAAAAATTCTTGTCTGTTTAAAGGCATTAGCCTGTTGGCCAAGTCTTTAACATGCGATGCCAATATTTCTTCATGTTCTGGTGCAAAAGTATTGTGAAAACGACCCATAACTGGCTCAATAGACATCTCTTTATTACTTTTAATAGCTCTAACTCTATCATTCAAAGTAGATCGTGGTACCTGATAGCGTTCTGCGGCTTGACGAGCACTTATTTTATGATTCAGTACCTTTTCCACGGCCTTATGCATGTTGGCAGGATCCCAGGTGCCCTTCTTTTGCGTTGTCTGACCATCATTCCCGTGACTTGACATTTTTGTATATCTGAAAGTAAAACAAAACAATTAAAAACGATCTAATAGAATGGCCGGTACTGTAGGACAACATTATGTCCGGTACTGGAGGAAACGAAAAAAAAACTAAATTCGATTTCTAACGAACATGAATGTACAAAGGTTAATTATAAAGACACTTTTCTATAGATATATAAGTACACTCTACTTACCAGTAGTTATTTGTTTTAAACTGGATCTCTGAACTTCGAAAATTGTGAATAGAATTTTAATTACGTAGTTAGCGTCCATCACGCGCAACTAAAATCTTTGAACTGGAAGTAAACTTGTCGTTGCAAGTTAACGCCGCGCGGGGAATATCATCCCGTGAGTGTATTGCACAAATCACGATAAAAATTTCAGCGTCATCTGTTGTCAGGTTGTAGAATTTGCAACTGGCTGGTACTGGATGCCGGCCGGTACTGTAGGACTCTCCCCTACTGTGATCGATGGTGGAGCTTGAAGCGATTCATGAAAACTAATGCTTTAAAGCTGGTGCAATCGCTATACTGACAATGTCCGTCGCTGAAAACACTATTTGGTTTCTGATGGAGAGGTTAACTTGACAAATCTGAACATGGAAGACTTCCGTCAATGATTCTACTTTTTGTAATCTTTACTCTTTGGTAAGGTCAAAGCGGAAAGGCTTCGGAGGTGCGAGAATGTCAGGTGGGATAAATATGCGGTTCTACGATCGGTATCTATGTAATACATCATTAGGCGGAGTTACTTAATTTAGATTACTTGCTTTGGGTTAGAATTATTGGATCTTTACAAGGTAACCGAATGAATTATTTGATCAATTTCTTTTCTGACGTCAACATATTAGCCAAGAGAATTAGGAAAATGAGAAGCTTACTACCTACTCATTGATATGACTTCATTTACTATCAACTTATCTGCTGATTGGATGAATTGATTCAACAATTCTTAAGCATTTCATACACCTCATGTGGTTTTTCGGAAATTGGCGAAAGCTTAAAATACGTATGTTCTAAAATATTTAAATGCAAAAGCTTCTTAAATGCGATCAAATTGAGATTTGAATTATTTTCAGGGCAGGAAACCCCGCTTAATATAGACGCTGATCCTTCCAAGGTTTTGTTTTTAAAATACCCGGTTCATGAGGCGTTGTATTGCATTTTCTTACATTATTTCACATTTTGAAGAAGTACGATATTATGAATCTTAATCTGTATTTAGTTTTTGAAATATTAATTAAGAAAGCTGATAAATCCATACTTTTCGCAGTAATCAAGCGCTTGGTGTGAAAACCAGGTACGATCCACGTACTCAATTGTTATTAGGCGTATTGTGTGCGGCTGTGCGGTCACTGGTTGGGGAGGAATTTTATATCGAACTGTTGTGCTACTTCCACACTGATAAGAGAAGCAAATGAGAAGAGCTTAAAATTCTAGTTCCGAAATGGTGGAAGCTGTTTTGATTTCTTTTTAAGTATGAAAAGTAACTTATCTGAAAGCGATTCTAGCCATGATATAAGAGAATGTATTTAATCATTAAAACAATTTGGCAAGAATTTAATGCCTTTTTAAGAGGTACTATGATCGATGGTGGCGCTTGAAGCGATTAATGAAAACTGATGCTTTAAAGCTGGTGCAATCGCTTTGCCGACAATGTCCGTCGCTAAAAAAAGATTTGGTTTCTGAACTTAAAAAATCTGAACATCGAAGGTTTCTGTGAATTACTCTACTTTTTGTAATCTTTATTCTGCGGTTCTACGATCGGTATCTATGTAATACATCATTAGGCGGAGTTACTTAATTAAGATTACTTGCTTTGATTTAGAATTATTGGATCTTTACAAGGTAATCGATTGAATTATTGGATCAATTTCTTTTCTGAAGGCAACATATCAGCCGCGAGAATTAGAAAAATGAGAAGCCTACTACCCACTCGTTGATATGACTGTATTTACAATCAACTTATCTGCTGATTAGATGAATTGAAGCATTTCATACACCTCATGTGGCTTTTTTCGGAGAGATATTAGACTACAGATAAGTATTTGTTCGGTTCTAGCGTACTGCTGTTGTCTTCTTTTTTTTTTGGCTTTAGGACCAGGCCATGCAGCCAGAGAAACTAGGTTGGTATTGTATATATATATATATATATCTATTTATGTACAAACAGACGACGTCACAACATCCATGGCGAAGGCGAGATTCGAACTCGCGACCCGGCCGGCCGGCTGATCAGTAGCACGACACTCTGACCCACGCGGCCAACCGAGGTCCCTGTTTTCTTCTTATATACACATTTTTCTCGTGTCTGAATTCCTTTCTAGTAGTGAAGAATCTTTAACTTACAAAGCGAATGCGGGTATTAGAAATTGATAAATAAATCGATGTTACTAGGGTATATAAAGCAGTATGTAGTAGCAGATGAAGGTTAAGCAAGTTTAGATAAGTTTTGTGAGTTTTTGAATAAAATGTAAAACAGACGAGAAGTATTTCAATTCAACTGGGTGACAGCCCACTCGTGACAATATAAAGTGTTTGATATATTATCTTACGGATAGGAATGAAAGCGAAATTATAGTTATTACTAATTTCAACTTTTCTAGTTGCCACGTAAAATAAGAATATTCCATAAAATAGGTAGAGCTGGATTAAAGTTATACCATTTCACTTGGTCCATTTTGAACACTGTTTGTCAATTATTTGACAAAATGAAAATAAATAAGTCCTATCTGATCAAGACATATCAAGAGGATATGAAAAGTCAGAATAAGTCCCTATTACTCCACATGACCTGGTTGTAGACGCTATGGCTCTACTAATCAGTCGCCTCGATCTGTGCGGGTTCGAATCCCGTTCCAAGACAATTTTTCTCTTAGCTATGGATATTGTGATTGTCCGTAGTTAATAATAATAATAATAATAATAATAATAATAATAATAATAATAATAATAATGTTTATTGTCAAAACTATAACAGATAACTAGAAATGACATATTTTAGAACAATAAACATGGTAGAAACCCCGCAGAAGGCTAGCCTTGTACGCGGGTATGCATTAGCTTATGAATAATTACGTACTACTTAAACTAGAAATAAAAAGACACACGTGCTTTTCTAAGAAAAGAACAATAAAAACATTAAATAGGATTTTAAAATACATTATCTGACAAAGTGGGAGCATGGATGGCTTCATTTAATTATAGATCCTTTTTAAGATAAAATGTCTCATTTAGGGCACAAAGTCTATCTTAGGTTATTAGTGTTTTTGTTTTCGGTTCTTTGTTTGGCGGATATATCGAGTATGTTTTCAAAATCTGTAAATAACTATAGCAGGGGTATATTTTCTAAATCGGTAGTGTTGGGTATAGGGTATATTGTCTAATTCGGTAACTCTATTCTAATAATTGGTTTTCATGTTAAGTGTAATCTTTTTATATCAACGATTTCGTGAATTCTCTGTCTGGGCATAGATGTTATCCAGCCTTTTACTTTCCTTTTAAATGTGTGTTTGGAACGTATCATCTTCAGGTCTTGTGGAAGAAGATTGTAACATCTTGGTCCTGGGTAAGAATACCATCTGAGCATTAAATTTTTTTTCTGGTTTTGACACTTTTAAATAATTCCTGTTTCTTGTTTGGTAATAATGTAGTTGGTAGTCGATCTCGGCGGATCTCTAATCCGGGGCCAGAATGTGTGCATGTTGCATGCACGTGTTCCCTCGCTAGAGTCCTTGTGTCGTCCATGCCCTTTCCCCTGTATCCCCCAATATCCCCACGGTAGCCATAGGTGTTTAGGCCTTAGGCCTTTATGGTTGCTCAATTATGAGAAAAAGAAACTCCTGAACTTTGGTTTTATCAGTTTATTAAACAGATCTGAACACATAATACATTATTTACATATAGATCCTAACAAGTAATTGAGCAAATATCATCGAAGTCATCAACTGATAGCAGATCTATCTCCCCAATCCGTGTCCGTGAGATACTACAAGGGTGCCAGTATCCTGGATCAACCTGGATACCACTGCTTGTCTGTCCTTTTCTCCCCAAGCAAGCTCGCTCTTAGTCCTGTCGCCTACCCTTGATTCCACTTGTTGTTTCAGATCTCCGGTGTGTGGATCTGCCACTTCGTATTTGTACTCGTAGTGGGGAGGCGCCTGAAAAAGGAATGTTTCGCCAGAATGAGACTAGTTTGGTATTCATTAAAATGTTGTCCGACTTATCCTACTTACTCAAATATTAACATAGTCAAACTTGAGGAAGGAATCCTTTGGGTCATTTTAAGAAGAGAAGTTCATATGACGACGTCAAACATTTCTTTATAAAAATAATTTTTTTCGTTAAAGTGGTAGCTTAGTAGGTACAGAAAATCTGGAATAAATTGAATCAGATAAAGACGTCAATAAGCCTACCACCCACCACCCTAAGAAGGAAAAATAAACGGATTTAAATCCAGCAATGTAAACGACCATAATAGTTTGTGCTTTCAATAAAGCCTTTTACTTGAATAATTATAATAACTATTTGGGAGAACTTGTATATCTGCTACAGTTCAACAAGTTTTAGTGAATTCGGCCAGGAGTTTTACGATTCTCTTTCGGAAAAATGTGTTTTCAAAAGATTTTGAGAACAATACTTTTCTATAATTACTCATAAAATCACACTTTGAAATTTAACCAGGTGCTCTCAATATTTTAAAATTCCTAGGTAAATCTAAATGTACTGTTGTTTATAGACCACAAACAACACACTACAAATTTCCTCACCTCATAAAGAAACTCTGTTTATTTGAATGGCAAAAACGATAGTAGTTATCTTCTTTTCTATTGTATGTGAGTGGAAGCTTTGAGCCAACTGGAATTGACGTTAATCGATACGTTTCGCAGAGTCAATGATAATTTTGCGGTTAAGGTAGATGAGTTAACACTTAGCGAATGTTGAGATATTTTGTGATAAGGAAAGATAACCCTTTTACCATACACGCCAGCAATTGACAAGTTATAGACTCTACTTTTCCGAGATTGAGTAGCTTTGTCGGGTAAGGAAGGTATCAGAAATTACTTACGTATACATCAACAACACGTCCATGGCCGACTCCACTTCCCAATCCAACTCCAGCTCCTCCAATGCCTCCCCCAATTCCTCCAAGACCACCTCCAATGCCTCCAATCCCACGTCCAATTCCGATTCCGCCTAGTCCTCCAATGCCATGTCCTATTCGAACACCGCCTAGGCCTCCTCCAATCCCGCGGCTTTCTCCAAGTCCAATACCTCCGCCAATACCTATCCCGTTTCCAAGGAGGCCACCAGCGTGGGCGAGTGCTAGCAGACTAGTTACAAGTACTACCTATTATGCAAAAAATTAAAATGCGGTGAATATTAATTACAAATGGAGTCAAGTAGGTTGACTTCGTACTTCCTAAGAAATTCTGTCATTAATGTTCGGTCTATTGAAAAAAATACCGGCTAGTAGGTTCAGCACGAGTTTAACCCTTTGAGAAGAAACTGGTAATGGGCATGTACAGTAGAGGAATTAAATATATCGATTCACTCAAACAGGCCCATACAATTAGTCCATAGACGTTCTTTCTGTGCCCTACCGGTGGTTACCGTTCATCTGGCAACGTTGCCCCTTCCCATATCGTCAGACGCGGTGGTGTCCACAGAAGCACCGCAGCAGTACAATCAGAACAGGCAAGCAGGCCGCTACGTGATGAGTCCAAATAGAAGAAGGAGACCCTTATCGAAGACATTTCTCTATCATTCTTAAGGACAAATGTACGGGGAAACCTGTGATTTGTGAAATATAGCTGATAGTTATGTAGAATTACCCGGGTTGAGAGCGTATAAATATACTAACATCAAAATAATGAGATATGCCTTTCTCCGCCCCCTAACAACTCCTCACCCACTATTTTTCTTACCGCTAGGATTTGTTCAAATATAGTCAGGATCCTGTGAAACATTGAACAACAACGTTTCAGCCATTTTAATTTTTTTTATTTTTGAGCTTTTACTACGATGCGCCTGGACATATTTTCAAAAGCTACAAAGCTTTTTCGTGCTTGGCGCAGTAGAAACCTTATGTAAAAATTTCCAGGATTACGGAACAGATCGACAGACAGACAGACACCGTCAGAAAGCCAGGCCGACGAAATGAGTGACCCCTGAGTAGGACGTATGAAAAAACAGAATTTCCCGTAATTAGTCAAGAAAGGTTGTCTGTACTAAGGAAATCACAATTAATAAAAATGGTGGTAAAAAATCCAAAACTTTGAAAACATCTATGGCATAACTTCAAGGATCATAGGTTCCTGATAATGTTGGAGCTTATACTTACTTGAGCGATCATTGTTGTATTGGGACTTGATAAGTTGAACAGGAAGGCACTATTGCTGATATTTGTCACTGCTACGGTTTATATACTAAAATCTCCCGTGCGTTCACGCCAAGGCGTAGGTACTTGAATGCAAAAATTCGATATGCGTATTTGTACGAAAACAAGACAATTTGAATCAGGATCCTGCAGTCAAAAGCTGTATTGCATCAGCTTCTGGTGCACATTATAAATTCGCAAATGCGACCCAGAATTTGGTTTTTAGCTCCGACATTTAGTGGGCAAGTATAGCGATTGTGTGATCAATTATGCAAATGTTCGATATTTATTGTTATTGTATAGTTATTTTATGATAGCGTTCTAAAAAAAAGTTCTATTTATCTTAGAAATGTGGATAAAAGCCTAACATGGCTTGGTGTGATACGCAGTTACATTTGAAGAGATGTTTCTACGCGGTGTGTGTTAGCTTTACCAACGAATTCGGAGCCAAAATCATATATAACTGTAAATTTTCGATTTGGTATCTGCCATATACATGAAAAGTTGATCGCGAAGGTTTACAATTTTTAGACAATGTTGGATGACACAAAAATTGAATTTGATCATGATACATGTGTTACACCATTTAGTCGACTAGAAACAGTGGAGCCACTCAGCTCATACTGAGACATGCAATAGAAGCACTGCGGTTGGTCAGAGTTGAGTGTATTTATTCTGGCAGTGCGTAGCTGAGCGAGTTTGAGTGCACTACGTGGCACAGAGTTTCTGTTCCGTGGAGATAACGATAGGTTTTTTATAGCACTTCAATTGTTAGGCCTTATTTTGCAAAAGATTTGACAAGATCGCCATCCCTACCTTTGATGAAAGCAGATACAAAGCCGGAATTCGGAACGAGACCACAGATTGCTTCCCACTAGGGTATTTCTCAAAATCTACTGCTCGGATTTTGATGAATTATTGTTTTAATGTTATTACTGTGCCAAGGACAAAATTTTTTTTGAAAATCGATCCAGATGCTGCAGCAAAAAATGAAAAAGAAAAATCCATCAATCTTCTTTCACTGATGTCTACGAGTCATCCGATCATGCACATTCAAGTTCTTGTAGGTGATAATAATTGGCAGTTCAGGGTTGTAGGGGTGGGGGAGGCTAAATCTAAATTTTTTTTGCATTAGTATATTTATACGCTTCTATCTTTGGTAGACCTACGCAAACATTAGGCATATTTCACACATAGATTTTCTCGTACATTTGCCCTCAAGACTTTAAATGAAAGAAATATTCCAACCTCTCCTGCGTCCAGTAAAACGAAGAGCACATATTATAAATTTCCCCACCGCCTCCGTCTGAACGATAAAATCAAAAAACTACCATACAGACTTTCATGCAGTTTTCGACAGTTAGAGAGGTTTATGAGCAAGGTTTAGGTGTGTAATTTATTGAACTATCTTGTACGTTGACTCAAAAAGATGGAGTTGTTACCCAAAGTATACAAAAATTGGATATAAAAGTTCATTATTTGGAATACGCTGCAAAACATATTGATAAATAAAGTACAACATATTTATGATACACCATGATTCACAGAAATGTCCGTGGGGCTATCGATTACATTTAAGTATCATTAACCAATTTCCATTCAAATTGGTCAATCACGTGTAAGTAAGCAGTCGATTCAATACAGCGTTTGAGCAAAATAGTCAACGCGTTGGTAGCCGAACGGCTACAGTCCGTGCTTCTTACGCGGGGGACTTGATGCCTTTGAATTGTACTTTTTTTTATTTTTTTTATACTTCAACTACCACGAAGGCCTAAGGCCTAAGCACCCATTGGGTACCGTGGCGCTATAGGGGGATACATGGGAAAGGGGGAACGCCACACGGACTCTGGCGAGGGAACACGTGTGCATGCAACATGCACACATTCTGGCTCCGCCTACTAGATCCGCCGGATGGTACCTCCGCGTTCGACAGTCAGAGACCGTCTACCACCTACGGACAATCACAACATCCATAGCCAAGAGAAAAATTTCTCCTGGGACGGGACTCGAACCCGCACAGCGCACGGCGACTGATCAGGAGACCGCTGCTGCCTAAACTTTGTACTTCTGTACTTCTGGACATACAAAATCTAATAATGATGTGCAGAAGTGTTCAATATTGTATACAAAGAAGTGTTTATGGCTATATGTACTTCCTTTTAATTACAGTAGAGCGTCAAAAATCCGAAGCGTCGTGAATCCGGATCGGTGGTAGAAGATGGAACAGGAGAAGAGAGAGGGTGTTCTTGAGCATTCCACGCCTTAGCCGGTCACCTCTCTTTGGTCACGTACTCTGTGCTGTTACTTACAAGTTTTACAGAAGTGGTGAATATGGAAGAATAGGAAACAATGCGGTCTTGTCGGATAAAAACCAACATACGAACCAGCATAAAAAAACGATATAATATGCGGTATATTGTCAGTTAAAGTTGTCAAATTCAGATAAATTTGAATTTCATACCCTTGGAATTTTCGTTTCACTTCCGCAGCCAAATAAAGTGGCAGCTTTTGACAAGTATAACGGTCGATCGCTGCTGACGGCACTATAAAATGTTCCACATACCACTAGAGATGTACACTATAAAATTATACGACAGCTTAAGGCTTATTGAAAGCACATTTGAGAATCCGGACGATTTAGTAATCTGGAGGGTCCTCGTTTCTATCTGGATTATTGACGCCTCGCTGTACTGCAAGATCAGAAATAAAATGAATACAAAATAATTCAAGTAGGATCAATCATTAATACCCTAATCTAACCCAGATGCGCGACTTTACAGCATGACCCCAGCAACCAGTGCGAAGCGAAATTTTTATGTCGCAAAATAGTCAAAAAAGTGGGGACTAATTATATGAGCTTATTCGACTGACTTGAGCTATTGAATTCCATTGCTTGCCCTAGGAGATGAGCGTTGCGTGGGAAGATCAGAGTCATCCTACTTGATACCATGTTTTTCTATGGACAAAAATTAAACAGTACACATATAGATTTTAACGACGAAACGGGACGGTTATGTTTAAATTAAGGTCGATGGAAATAAAAGTATGTTTATTTATTTATCAAAATGCACAGCCCTTTAAAACAGAAACACTATCACTCAGTACTTATAGTGTGTTTTTCCGTCTTTAGCACCAGCTACTTCGTTATGACCTTGACCTTGGATTGGTTTTGCAGCGGCAGGTGCTGCAGATGCAGGAGCTTTTGCCGGGGGACCGTAAACGGGGGTGCCAACTTTCTGTACAATAGCTCGAAAACCATTCACGCTGTCTGATGTGTAGTGGACGGTACGGAAGGTGCCATCTGGTTCAGCCACTGTATAAAACCTGTCAAAAAACACAAAGCTTCAGTTGCTCCTTTTGGCTGCCAGCGCCGTATATAGAAGTTGAGTTCGGGTGAGGACCAGAGGTCTTGAGAGGGGGGGGGGGGGGTGTCGTTATGTAAAAAAATAAACTTTCAAATTCACAATGCCTCGAGGGATGAACACGATATTTTTATGTGGCGAGCACCTACAGGTAAAAGACTGGCAACTAGCTCCTCTGTGTTTGCTAAGAAAATTTACATTATCAACTTGTAGAGCGAAAACAACTTTTATGGATATTTTCAGACCTCACTAAATGATGAATTCTGAAAAATAGTGCAAAAAGCGTTGTTTAACCGTTAAGGAGCTTGAAAATAGTATGAATATTTAATTTGCCTAGAACGTCGTCAGTATTTTGTACAGTTCGGGGTGAGGGACAGGCCTACCCGGTCCCTCCCTTCTATACGCTACTGCCGCTAGGTGGACAGTACCAATCTTTTGTCGTGAGTTTGGTAGATGTAACAACATGTACGTCACTTGAGGCAGAATACTCACCCTTTCACAAGATCTCCATCTCTTTCTTCATGTTGAGACTTGTGGTCACCTGTGTCAGTATCATGAACACCATATTGGAACTCATATTTAGGATAAGCCTGAAAAATCCATGAAATCATCTATATTGGCAAAAAGCTTACTGGATATAAAACTTGTAAAGAAGTTTATAACCTACAACTGTCCATCAAAACTATATTTTATGTTATATTACTCTTTTTCTTGAATGAGCCCGAATCTAAAATAAAATATAAGAGAATCAAAAATTTACTCCAGTATATAACTCGGTATCTTCTGAAAACAAGCAATTTGAACACCTGTATACAAGATTCAAACAATCGTTTGAAAGCTTTTGAATTAGTTTAGACAAATTTGATAGAAATCGCGATCCTTGCATACTATAGTTCAGGCTTTTCCATTATCGTTGTGTGACATAAACGTTTAGACAGAAATGCTTCGATACTAATCAATCACAATAACGAAGATGCAAACGGAAGGCTAGCTGCACACAGTTGATGTTTCAAGAAGCCTTTGGGAGCATATTCATACTTACGTAATAATCGACGTTATCCTTATCATCATAGGCTGAATGTGCCTTTGCAGCTAACGCGGGATGCCACCCTGGACGTAAATATCCAGCTTGCACGATAAGTGATGCGGTTAGGAAAATTGTCAGCTGAAAATATAGTAAACACGATAGCTTGTGACTATGACAACAATTTAGTAGATTGCAGCACAATCAAACAAATAACTAAATGAAACGGTTTAGGCCAAATCCATAGTGATTTCTTAAGGAACATGGTAGCGTAGGTCTTTATGTTTCAAAAACTTGATAGATTGTAGCACAACCAAACAAATAACCAAATGAAAAGTCTTAGTCCAAAACCAATTTTTAAGAACCAGAGGCCGTTTGAGAGAGTTCCTAGTGCCGTTTATGACAAATACACTTTTTAATTAACAAAACACAGAATTTCTAATTGTTTATCCCAAAACACCGGTTTTCCGGCCATCACTACTAGGTTATTGAGCAATATACAGGGTTAGTTCAAATGGCATTTTATGGCAAGATACACTAGTTAACCTTGCTAATATGAATCGCAAACCAGTCCGGAAGATGAATGTTATTTTTATGAGAAAAACGAAAGTTACGTTTTTTCTTCTAAACAAATTCAAACACTTCGTAATTGTGAGTAATTCGCAACAGAAGATGATAGACACATCCGCTTTGTTTTAAAATGTGTATAGTAACGTATGTTTTTCGAACATCGTAGCGCATTTGTTCCATTGCTCACAAATACGAAATGTTTGAATTTGTTTAGAAGAAAAATACCTAACATTCGTTTGTCGCATAAAAATAATATTTATCTTTCGGAATGGTTTGTGATTCATATCGGCAAGGTAAGCACGTGTATTTTGCTATTACATTCTCTTAGAACGAACCCTGTATATTGCTCAATAAACTAGTAGTGATGGCTGGAAGGCAGGTACTTTGGGATAAACAATTAGAAATTCTCAAAAAACGACTTAACCCATATAATCCAATTTTGTTGTGGTTATTAAGAAGTATGAATCCTACGAATTTTAATAATTTCAAATATCTGCGAGAAACCATCGTCGCATTACCAACAAGTGCCAAAACCTGCAGCTTGCCTCGGTTGTCGGCTATAACTTTTTTCTATTAGTCGGATCTTTTTACGTGTGATCTTATTTTGTAGGTCTCATAAATACCTGAAAATCCTGTATGAAAAGTTTTTCCGTTCCTGCCGACATTTTCGATTGAATTCCAAAAACGCGTTTTCTCATTCTTTGTTGTTGAATAAAAAGTTTTCCCTCAAAAATTGGTGTACCGATTGTATGCGTCCATGTTTTAAATACCTCCTTGAATAACTCGCAGCAATAAAACCAGACTTTACAATTATTTCGAAAACCACGGGTATTTTCGTCTATGATTAGACTATAATCCGAGAGAGATTCATTGGACTGGCAACTAGTATAAAATTTATTTTTATTACACTTTCTATATCATTGCATTTTATGTGTGTGGGAAGGGCTATCTGGAAATACACTCGCCTAGGGCGCGAAAAACTCTTGAGTTTGTTCTGGAGAAGTTGCCTTATTTGCATTCATCGTGTTATCAGGCAGCAAAAATGATTAGTCTTGAGTGTCACATCATGATAAATTATAAAACCTTATTTGTTAGGTTTCTTTCTAATAAAAGCAAGTTCAGTTGTTCTTTTTGAACTCTTAAAGTGAGCCAGAGATCCATAGACTATGGCGTTATCTCTATTGGGACTGTCTTGCACTTGCAAAACGAACGCAACTCTAGACGGATTCAATCCAGATATAGCAACGGTTAAGTGTAAAGTGGAGAAATGACAACTCACCCTGAAGAACATCTTGAATTTGATTATATAGTGACTTAAATGGTACTAGCTGAGTAGGCGGAATGATTTCACTTATATACCAAAAAGTAGTCAGAAGTAGCGCAGAAAAATACAAACAGAAAAAGAAATAATGTGACCCAGATCTGTTAAACGATTACAAAAGATGCAAGTGTCGCCAAATTTTGCGATGCGAATTTTACTTTTTGTTAACCTGAATTACACTGACTTTGAAAGATTATTCTGGTTGCGATTTTTAGGAAACTGCAATTTAGCTTAGTTGACATTGATGCTGATGATGAAATAGTTTTTTAGCAAAGAATTCGGTCTGGGCAGAAGGTGCAAGCATGCGACTTGTTTTGATGCACAAAATCTTAGTCAGTAGTCAGGATGCAAGTGCATACTACAAGACAATCAGGCTTCAGCTGCCAGTTTCACAGTTGTGACATTTCGCAGAAAATTCGTAGTTTTCCTGCAAAATGTGTGTAAGTTTCCATATAAATCTAGTGCTCCCGGCAGAAGATACCGAAAATGGTGAAGGTTTTTGTGGATTGCGAAAAGCACTTGATGTGATGTGAATAAAAGTAAATCCTTTAATGGGTAAATGATAATATAGGAAAGTATTCGGTATGACAAAACGACATGTTGACATTTAAGTGCTGGATCATAATGTAAGGTTTGCTGACAAAATTTCATACCACACACAACATTGGAATATCCAAAATATTGTTAGACAAACCAGAATTCATCATGAATACTAAAAAGGGGCAAATAGAACTTCATTTTTGAGTCTTATCTACTGTCATTTTGAATATCAAAAAATTGTTGCGAAAGGTCCCTAGTTTCGCGTTTTAGCGCTGCGCGTTTTTGTTGAGGAACAACAACGCGTCAAGAAATCTATTATATCTAATTAACCAAATCACTTCTAAGTCTTTTTATTGAACAAAATATAGTGACAAATGTTCAATAAAGTATTTGATCATAGCCAAAAATGTCACATACAACACAGACAACGTAACGATTTAGGGGACCCGAGTGGTGTTCAAGCAGGGTGCCCCACTATTTCCAAAATCAGGTATTCCGCCATAGCTTCTGTACCCCTCCCCTCCCCCCGAAATATCCCCCTGTCTCTTCAATTGACGTTACCTCGCCCAGACGGACTTATTTCTGGACATAAACCCTGATTCCCTCACCTCAGCACCTTTTTGATCGGGTTGTTTAAAATTTTCTGGGTCCGCCTCTGCGATTGATGAAGACAATTTCAACCGCATATAGCTACAAATTAATCTGGAAATCATACGATCTTATAATAACTACTTATTTGCCTCAATTTATCCTTGCTTTATCAATTTCTGGATGATTCAGATAACACTTTTGCCCTGTTGTACGAGAGTCTACTGGAATATTTTCTGAGTGCCATATCGTCAGCCGCTTCTTCAATTATAGGACGCATTTATGGCCACCTTGATTGTCATAGACTTTTTTCTCCTTCAGAAAGGCTGATTTCTAGATTTCACCTGTTCCGTAACAGTGTCAGCGCTGAAGTTATGTTTTATTTTTGAATTTTAGGAAATTTCAGGCTGATAAATAGATGATATAAATCAAAAGCATGAACAATTTGATGCAAATAGATATTTGAGACGTAACCTCAAAATAGAGGCCGACAATTGTAGGATGCCTTTATTGCCTTGATTTTCATAGTCTTTTTTATCCTTCTGAAGGGCTGGGATGCTTCTATACCCTATTCGTAGTCCATTTACGCTTGCTCTTCAGTGATGTCTCCTCCCTGAAAACGTGACAAGAAGGGACATTTGAATATTCAGGCAAAATAAATTGTCCTTAACGTTTATAAGAGCGAAATTTTAGAGTATCCTGAAATGAAAATTCATGATATTGAAAGATGTATGACGAACAAAACATGCGTATGTCCTAAGACCATTTTCAACATTGTTAAAGAATATAAAAAACACAAGAAATTGTCTCCACCACACAATAGGCTGCAATACACGAAACTTTTGATCACAGTTGATACCTTTGATAGGAATGCCATTAGACGCAAACTCCATAAATTTTTTTAAAGGCAGGAACTTTTCACGATAGACAAAGTATTACCGGAAGTTAATAGTGATGAAGATTTACCTACCTTCAAAAGGACCACATTCTATAGATTACTCAAAGAACCTCATTTTGAATATACAAAACGGGGCAAAAATAGTATTTCTAGCGAAGAGATTATTTTATAGAGAAGAAATTATTTGAAATCGATAAAGAAATACCGCGACCAGGACAGGAAGATTTATTACTTTAATGAAACCTGGATAAATGCAGGATATACAAAACCTAAAGTATGGGCTGACTCTACAATTAAATTAGCAAGAGAAGCCTTCTTAGATGGACTAACCACTGGCCTAAATAATCCGCCAGGTATGTGTATCAAACCAATTAGTTTTAATCAAAATATGGTCAAACCAGAACTTATCCATCTCGTCAGTCAACACAAATATAAATATAATCTTAATGTTATTGACGACCGACTACCATGAAGAAATGGACGGGAGTTCATTTGAACGATGGTTTGAAGAAACGCGCCCAAAGATTGATGGCAATGCCATCATTGTACTTGATAATACTGCATACCACACTAGAAAACTAGAAAAAAATCCCACAATGTCCACAAGAAAAGCAGAAATTCAACAAATTAAAAGACATTAGTTTCAATGAAAATATGGTCAAAGCAGAACTATAATATAATGACGAAAAACCAAAATAAAATGGTTTTAAGGCTATCCCCTTATCACTGCGATTTATATCTCATTGAAACAATTTGGTCAAATTTAAAAAGCTATGTGGCTTCAAACGATAGAACATTCAAATTTTCTGACGTGCTTTATGGAGCTGTCAACAGAGTGTCGGCGAGACAAGAGACAATCGAAACAAAGATGTGGGATCTGGACAATATAATCGATATTCAAATTGAACCTGTAATAGTTAATTCGGACGATTATTCAAGTACTTCCAGCGAATAAAGAATTGTTTAAAGTATATGCACTTCTTTCTATAAAAATAATCATTTATTTTGTTAGATTTATTCCAAGACCATTGAGGAAAATACGAATCTGTAACATCTCGCTATTGGAGATGTTGTGTTTTGTCTGGACTACGAATGGGGTATAGATTTGTACTGTTCTCTGTCACCGTCAGCGCTATCCTGTTGTGAGGCTATGTCTTCTTTTTGAACTGCAGGAAATTTCAGGCTGATATAACAGATGATAGAAATCAGAAGCATGATAATTTGGTGCAAATAGATATTTGCGACATCAAAATAGAGCGCACGGCACAATAGAAAACCATGAACATCAAGGAGGCCATAAGGCGTCCTACAATTGCAAGAATGACTGACGATACGACCCTTAAGAAAATAATGCTCCCAAAGTATATGTCGCCCTGTCCGCCCAAAAACTGTCAATTTGACAATTGGTCGCAATGCCTGAATTGTCCACTTTGACAGGCGAGGCTAAACCTCAATAATGAGGTTAATTGGAACTTAGAATTAAATAAAAACATAACAACATGACTACGCCAGTAGAAATAACGGTGATCAGAGGACCAGAACATGTATCTATGATGTACGATGAACAAGCAAAGGTTCGGGTGCTTAGAGCCCAAGAACCGGAAGATCCAGGCGAAGACAAACGAGGTTTGTGGTGAGAAAAAATTATTATGTTTTTGGATACGCAATTCTAGGTCACTACTAGAACCTCTTCTTGCTAATCGTACGCATTCTCAAAGGAATCATTCCATTGTTGACTCCGTAGCTTCAAGGTACCCTACCTAGCTCCTCATCCTCATCATTATCCTCATAAAAGACATATACAATTATTACAGCGGTTAGATTTTTGATCACTGACCATGCATGCATATTTTTGTTTGTTGAGACGTAGGTAGAGCCATAACAGGGGCATACAAAATTAATTTTATGTGAAGACGGAAATAGACCTAGTCAAAATTGTAATCAGAAAGATATAAAAAACGAAGTCGTATCCTTTTCAAATTATAGGCTTTAAACAAAATCGGAAAAATCTACACCCTGTGATGATATTTTGCTCCTACTACTACAAATGTCAACTTTTTCTTAGACGGAGTGACAGACAGCGTTATTCTGTGGTGTTATCAGCTTGACATCTTAAAAAGAATCGTGCTATCATACGGGCGAATCCTCCGTTCTAACTAATTCAGCTGCTTCCGTTGTTCTTTTCCGTAGCTTAGCTAAATTTTCGATTGGCCTTGAGTAAACATTTTCTTTCATCGGTCGCCGTTAAAAATAATCGAGTGGATCAAAGTAGGGTGAACGAGATGGCTACGAAATTATACCAAACCGCATTATCCATCTGCTCGGGTATTCCGCATCAAGATATTCTCTAGCTGAACGGGCATAGTGCGCAGGGCAGCCGTCTTGATGGTACCATACGTCTCTGTAAATGCTTAGTGGTACGTCTTCCAGTAAATGATTTTGTAAAAAGTCTGAGTAAATTTCGCCATTCAAGAACTCTGGCAGATCAAAGGGTTCGATGATTCTCCCATCCAAAATCCCGGTCCTCATGTTTACTTTTGGTTTGTTCGTACAGCCTGTTTGCTGACAATCAGCAAGCTGATAGTTGGCGACAAGTAATGACCTAGTTTTCTCATGACCTAGTTTTCTCAGTTAGCTGTCACTGATACGTCGCTGACTGTATTGATTGCGTACATGACAACGTTACCAGTTGGCTGAGAAAGGTAAGACCGATTATAGACAAGTAATCCTCTGTTCGTACAGAAACTTCTGACTGTCAAATTAATCAGCAGATAATTTGCCAGTTAACTGTCAGAGCTTGAAATCAAGTACAATAATTATTCGAATGTAAAATTTTTCAGAATGAGGTAGAAAATTTTGGAAAAGTTGGGGGTTCATTTGCTGTAAACTAGAATGATCTAGGATTTTTCGAGGAAAACATGGACACTTTCTAGAAAAAAATAACAGCACTCAAACATGTCAAGTAGATTTACTCAGTAATTCCCATTCAATTCTCATATAAAAAGTAACGGGTGATTTTTTAAGAGGTATAGGATTTGATTTTCAAAAAAACACAAAAAATTTGAAAAAAACGATTAAATCTTCATTTGAGTCGATAGAACGGTCGATATAATTTAATGTTTAAAGATTATTTCATGTAAATGTTGGCCGCGGCTCCGCTTTAGATGGCCCATGCGCAAGGTCCAATTTTGGCACACTCTCTCCAACATATCGGCCGGTATCTCACGAATAAATGCTTCAATATTGGCTTCCAGTGCGTCAATCGTTGCTGGTTTATCCCTGTAGACATTAACTTTAACATGGCCCCACAAGAAATAGTCCAACGGCGTTAAATCACACGATCTGGGCGGCCAATTGACGGGCCCCAAACGTGAAATAAACTGTTCACCGAACTCGCCTCTCAATAGGGCCATTGTTTCGTGTGCGGTGTGGCATATGGCACCGTCTTGTTGAAAACACATGTCAGCCAAGTGCAGCTCTTCCATTTTGGGCAAAAAAAAGTTTGTTATTATCGCACGGTAACGCTCGCCATTCACAGTTACGTTCCGGCCATTGTCGTCTTTGAAGAAGTACGGCCCGATGATACCACCGGCCCATAATCCACACCAAACAGTGATTTTTTCGGGATGCATTGGTAGCTCTTGCAATGCTTCTGGCTGGTCTTCACTCCAGATGCGGCAATTTTGCTTGTTAACGTACCCATTCAACCAGAAATGAGCTTCGTCGCTGAACACAATTTTTCGATAAAAATGTGGATCTTCCTCCAACTTTGCCAGCGCCCATTCACCAAATTGGAAACGTTGTGGGAGGTCGTGTGGCTTCAATTCTTGCACCAGCTGTATCTTATAAGGTTTTACACCCAAATCCTGTCGCAAAATTTTCCTCGTAGTGGAGTAACAGAGGCCCAATTGCTGCGAACGGCGGCGAATCGACATTTCACGGTCATCACTGGTGGATACAGCCGCAATATTTTCTTCAGGCCTCACTCTACGTCTGCGTGTTGGTGGTTTAATGTCCAATAATGTAAACTGGGTTCGAAATTTAGTCACAAGCTTCCGAATAGCTCCCTCAGTAGGCCGACCAAATTGCCCATAAATTGGAAGCAGTGCTCGATGCACTCTCTTAAACGAGCATGAATTTTGATAGTAAAATTCAATTTGCAAGCGTTGTTCGTTCGTGAGTCGATTCATGGTTAAATTATAGACCAAACTGAACAAGTTTGTCAATGACACAAGACACGATTCACGCGTCATCTGTCAAAAACAGTGTTGCCAAAAAGATACTAGCAAAAAAATCACCCATTATAAGCATAAATTCTAAATAAACGTCTGCAGTGATTATGTCTGAGAAATGTATTGCGAATGACTTTTAATATAACTCGGATAGTACGGTTTTTGTTTCCTGTTCCCTTCTCGCCCAGCCTCGAAGTGTATGCACAAACAGTATTTATATATTCTAGCTATGTAAGTCCAACCCAAAGCTGATGAAAAAATAAACAAAATAACGAATTCTGGAGATTTTGTGATACAGCTTTTTTTCACGGGTACCCACGGAGAGGGAGTGACTGTTTCTGTTGGGGTGAAAATAATATTTTCCCTATACAGGGTATTTTAAATTCGATCCTCACCATTGGGATCTCGGAAACTTCAATGGATACGAAGTCGCTTAAATGGGAAGAACGTTGCGTATTTAGATAATCAGCAAAATGTTGCTTAGAAAGTTTTGAAATTGAAAGTACTTCCGGAACTAGACGTAAAAAACGAAATTTCCCAAAATGGTTTTAATCTTCTCCTGACTTTATTTGTGGTGGGATTTCAAAATAAATTGCACATGAACTGTGCCACATTTTCTCCTCTACACGACGGCACAATTAGCATTTCAATATGACGTTTGGTATCTTGTCCTCCAGCACCAACTTAATTTTTTCTTATAGACGTGATATTGGATTCTTACACACATGAATAAAATGTTTATTCTGATTTAAAAAATGTATATGCCATACATCAACATTGCAATACCTTAGTTATTCCAAAAGTTCTTAGGTAGGCTTTGAAATTATCAGATTTCATTTGTTTGCATTGCAACAGAGTTTGGAAGACTGTGAATACCTCTGCTCATTTATTATTGTTATTACCATCAATAAAATTTCCATTTCGTATTCATATTTCATTACATCTTTTTATTTCCTTTTAATGTTCATCCAACAACAAATTTATGGTCAACTAACGAAATACATCAATGAATTTAGGGCTGAAAAGTCCATGTAAATGTACAAAATTCCAATATCGTGTCCGCATGAAAAAACAAATTTGATGACGGAAGTCGAAATAAGAAATGTCGAATTGAAAATTTGACTACGTCATCTTGTAGACGAGAATAAGTAACAATGACAATATTCAATTTATTTTGAAATCCCATCTCAAATAAAGTTAGAAAAAAATAGAGAGATTTTGGGATAAATCTGGTGAGCGAAACAAACATCTGATAATTTCAAGGCCTACCTAAGAAATTATTTTTTTTTTTGAAGTAACCAAGGTTTGACAACGTCAATATATGACGTCTTTTGCATTTTGCAGTTTTTTAATCAAGATTAAAAACTCTATTCATCTGCAAAAATGCAACATAGTGTCCTTAAGAAATAATAAAGTTGATGCTGGAGGACAAGAGACGAACCATCATGTAGAAATTCTGATTACGCCTTCTTGTAGAAGAGAAAACGTGGCACTGCTAATGTACAATTTATTTTAAAATCCCAATATAAATAAAGTCAGGAAACAATCAAAACGATTTTGGGAAAGTTCAGTTTTTCCGTTACTCTGGGGAAGTACTTTGAATTTCGAAACCTTCTAAGTGTCATTTTGTTGACTACCCCATTTAAGCGACTTCGTATCCCTTACAATTTCCAAGATCCCAAGGGAGAGTGCCAAATTAGAAACACCCTGTATATGTAGACTCTCACTAGAAGAAATGAGTGAAAATACTACAAGGACTTAATGTCTTTGAATAATAAAGGGTGTTATACAATAAAAAGCTAAAACAGCTGAACATAACTACAATTATCAAGATCTGCTTACATAGCTATAAGTTTCACAGAGCTCTCAACATGGACAAAAAGAACTGAGACTACGAAAATACATAGAAGTAAGACTTAAATCGTGTAATTTTGCATTTTGCAACTGTAACAAACATCTTCAAAAGATTAGATCACAAAAATCGTATTAATTATGGTTCTTGAAAGTTATATCCTCTATTGTTCGTATTCTTCATACTGTATTCAAAATCTTCATTTTGCCATTACCAGGTCAATTAACGAAATATTGAGCAGAAAACCCCTTGGCGCTGGCAGCTAGTTAAAATGGAATTTCATTAAGATTTCTTCTGTCACTTGCTCACCCGATAAAGTTTAAGTTTTAAGTTTTTTAGGTTTCATTCTCTCCTCAGCATGTCTTCAACGTTTTCATCTTCTTGGTATATCGCTCAGTTTTTTTTAAACCGAAGCAGCCGCGCAGGTGAACCCTGTAGGGCATGTATGCCGGGGCACTGTGGCTGCTTTGCGGAGCTTATAGAAACTTTGTCATTCCCATTTTTGAACTGCCTAAGGTTAGTAGAACTGGGAAAATCTCATGTAGATTGTTACACGATCTCGACACCTTCGGGACAAAGGAGCGGTCTTATCGGCCAGTTCTGGATTCGACACGGTTACGATGGGAGGCCGAAGTCAGACAGGCACATCGCGCGGCGACCCCATGGAAGAGAGCTCTGAGGAGCAAAGCCCTTTGGCGTAGCTAGATCGCCAACGGCCCATAGATGCAAAGGTATCCCAGGACCGTCCATTAGACAAGAGTTATCGATCATTAAATGCCTTTTGCGAAGCAATTTTAGTCCTCAAGGTAGTTTCGACACGCTCTGATACCTGTCACTGTCACTGGTTGACTGGTGTCCTCTGATCTGTCAGATGATTCTGTACGAACAGTCAGAAACTGTACGAACAGGTAACATATCTCTGATTCTGACAGTCATCGACAAGTTACCGACTACCGTACGAACAAACCACTTAAACCGATACTGTAACCTATCTTGTCTCATCCAATGAGGATTTTCTACATGCTACTCGTTGTGTAAATTCATGTTACCATCTTGTTTTGAATGTCGAGTTATCAGTCCATAAAATTTCCTCTAAGAATCGCGAATCTTTCCGGTGTCTTGCAACAAACTCAACTCTTGGAAAATAATCCCGGGATTGTAGAGACTGTACTCGCTGTAGGTGGTACGGGTCGAGCCCGTTCTTCCGTACTTTTGGGCACTCCCGTGCTTGCTTCTATTTGACGTACTTGGGTCTTCTTCGACTGCTTATAGTACAATGTCCTTGTAAGGAAAGGAAATTTTTCCTTTACCGTGTGCTTGATTTGGGTGTCTCCTCTCTGAGAGCATACGGTGTATATTCACAAAGACTCGGTGATTTGGATGACGAGCAGCATTTATGTAAATCTCACGATAAACCCTAGTTGCAGCACTAGCATTGCATCTACATTCCATATAATTGAGGTGCATGTTGACGCATTCCTGTACGGTGTACACAGCATGGTGGCACTACAGAATCATGAATTAATATGTAAAGGTGACGTTGCTGTCTGTCTCGCGGTCGCTACATAGAATGACACTATCCGACACTCCGTCTAAGAAAAAATCTAAAGCTGTAGTAATGGGAACTAAAATATCATCACAGGGTGTAGATTTTTTCGATTTTTTTCAAAGCCTATAATCTGAAAAGTACACGACTTATTTTTTGTATACTTTTCTGATAACTATTATGTGCCATGAAAGGATATTTTTTGTTTTCTAGGAGCTTTTGAGTATATGGATGCAGGCGACCTCGTACTATTCTGGATCGAGATCATGCTATTGATCTACATTTTCTGCTTTGTACTGACTGTTATGATTTTAGTGATTTATATGAATACAGGCGATACATGGTACTTTTGTGAACGTAGATGCCTTTTTTGTATGCATAAATAAAAAAGTAGCCCTCGTAGAAAAAATATACCTAGTATACTTTTACGTATACTTGGTGACAAAAAAATACAAGGCCCAGCAAAAATACTTTGATTTGAACGGAACTTTATATACAGATGGACATAAATGAGCCGAAGTCGTAATCAAGTTTGGATGTAAAAAAACTTGGTTAATTTCTCTAACAATATGTTGGACCAACCTTAAATCGTGTAACATTCATCCAGTCTTCAGGACAAGGTGATTTACATCTTCTTAAAGTCCAATGGGAAAGTTAACTTTTTGATTAAACAAAAAATACAAACTTAATGAAAAGAAAGTGTTTATTACTATCAACATATTCCTAAATTCGGTGGGTTTTATTTCTTAAATATCATTCCGTCCAAATGTTTGCCATCCCTTCGAATCGCGCGCGCAAATTCTGAAACACTCTTACAGAGTTCCGAAGTGATGTTGTTTATTTCTCGTCGAATGTTGTCTTTAAGCTCCTCCAGTGTTCGTGGATTATTGGAATACCCTTTTGACTTCAGATAACTCCACAAAAAATAATCGCGTGGCATGAGGTCGGGTGATCTATGAGACCAGTGAATGTCTCCAAACTTCGATATAACTTTTTGAGGAAAAAGTGCTTCCACCGTGCCATCGATTCTCTAGAAGTATGGGCAGTGGCCCCATTCTGCTGAAACCATGTGTTTCTGCCAAATCGACGTTCTGTTCTTACAATAGGAGCAACGGAGCACGAAACCTTTTAATCCACTTTTTCAATACGTTTTTACTTGGGGCATCTCTTGGTCGGCGAATGTTGTGTCGTGTACGAAATCTTAAAGTAAGCCTCGATAGCAAAAGCCCGTTGCACTCCGGTCTAACGTGCCATTGTGACCATTTAACCTGCACACCGAACGCGTTGATCAAGACCTCTCCCCACTTCCTCGCATATACGGTTGCCGCATAATTCAAATTTGAAATGTGAACTTTCCCACTGATATATCATCCTAAGGTACCTACGAGAATATCTGCTTCAGATCTGTGAGGAATTAGGTAAGAACATTATTTTTCGCCTCATATCTCACACACCTTCAATGGGCGTAGGGTCTGCAGATCTAGGAGACTAACTTGAACATTACTGAGGTAGTGCATTATAGCTGTTGTTTGATGTTAATGTGGATAATTGAGATGCTGCTTCTCGGACGTCTATTGTATATACTGTTTTTCATTTCACGATATCGTCATCAGGTGAAATTAGGAAAGGCCTTGAAACAAAAACCTATACGTATAATGGAAGTCCGAGAAACAACATCTCAGCTCATTATAGTCCTACCAATATGGGGACAAACATTATATTGTTGGAAAATGAGATACTCAAGCGTTTGGTGAAACGGCAAAAGATGAGGTTTCTGTATTCAACTGAAAACTTTCTTCGCAGCATATCTGACAGGCATTCCTTGAACAGAAAAGAAACCTAGAGAATGGGGATAATGGATGGTCTCATCATGATACGTCTTGCTTCCATTTCGAAACCCATGATGGACAGACGCGAGTCAGAAGACGTAGCGGGAAAAGACATGATGCATGTTTAACTTGAACATCGCCAAAATAATAGATATAATAATAATAATATTTATTAGCGGATAAACATATATAAAACATATACGGGTTTCCTCAATATACATAATTCACAGTATATTAACACATAAAAGGAACAAAAAATAAAATAACAAGCCAAAGCAAACAATAGCTAAAATTAAATATCTAAAATTGAACTATGTCACGAAAGGCAAACAGCAGGCATATGATAAAACAGACTCATATTTCAGCAGTTAAAATAAATAAATTGAGAAAATAGAATATAAAAATATATTTAAAGAACAAACATTAATAGGTGGACAGCAAAGGTTCCTACAATTGTAGGACGTAAAGGCGTCCTTGATTTTTATAGTTTTATACTGTCCCGTGTCAGCGCTGTTCTTTGAGGTTATGTCGCAAATATATGAAATTAAAACATAACTTCACAATAGGAGAGAGCTGAGGCTGACATAGAACAGTAAAAATCTAGAAATACCTCGGCTTTCTGAAGGAGAGAAAAGACTATGAAAATCAAGGAGGCCATAAAGGCGTTCTATAATTGCAGGAACGACCGGTTGGGCAAAAAATACAATCAATTGTTAATTGGAAAATTGTCAAAATTTTTTAGGCTTTAGTAAACTCTTTTAACAGTAATCTCGAGCTTTCGGCATTCTCTATGGATCCATCTCCAGAAGCTGAAAACACAAATATGAAGCTAGCAACCAATACGGGAAGGGTTTAAATTCGCAGACAACTTACTCGTCGCTGAGGTTGCAGCCAGATGGTGTTTCAAGACGAAAGTGTGGATAAGAGCACTTTTTATAAGTATAGAACCAAAAGGACGAACACATTGGGCTTATTGATAACGACGGGAACCATCGTCAGGTGTTAGCACTATATATCAATACACCCGAACACATTAAAAATTATCGAAAAGCAATTTTGGGGAAAAAAAACCGGCAAAGAGAAAATGAGCGAACTGGAAGACAGATGACAGGTGACCGTCTCGAGGGAATGTGGAAATGTAGATCATTGCCAAACTTCAGGTATAGTGTATACGAGGGACGCTGGGTAAAAGCTTTGAAGGATTAACGGAGAATTCCCAGAAACACAATGCATACCGTATTCGCGACTCGATACAACATCAATAAGTGGTCTTGTGCCAAATCTGTTCGCAGGTCCTTTAATATACTCATAGATACACTCATCCAGGTGCAGCCTCAAGATTGATGTGCTCTCGCTGATGGGTAGGGCTAAATTATCTAATATAAGGTGTAGTGAATGCATTTATTTTTGAGCATTGTAGAATCTTATGGCCGATTCTCCACAAATTAGTTGTTGAACCTATATAACAAGCTGTTAGTCTTTAACTAAGATTATTTTTGTTCGATAGAATAAATAATTCATGTGTTCGTGACTACTGGAGTTATCGTATGTAACGTCATTACAAATGACACAGTCAGCTTCAGCTAGCTTGCATTAGAGAATATTTGAGAACAGGAGGGCACAACGGTAGATCAAGCAAATACTGGAACCTCCTTTTTTGCCATTATCCCATTGATGATGCTAAAATCGACCGATTTTGCTGGCCCCCTAGATCTTCACATCTTTCGCAAATTGAACGTGTGTGTGTGATATGATGCGAAAGACAATAACCTATCTACCTCATCCTCTACAATCTCCAACAGCCTTTTGGAAACCAGTATTGCTATCTTAGAATCAGACACCTAAAGAAGACATAAATCACGTTCTTAGAAGCGTGACCTGACGACTGCACGAATGTCTGACACCGAAGCGGCCCAAAATTTGAAGACAACTTCTTTCTACCCATGTCTAACTGTGTATAAAACACTCAGATAAAAGCTTTGTTTTGGGTGTTCTATTTTGTTTGTGACGGATTATGTTTTCCTGAGGCTTACGATAATTTTGTTTTAGATATTTCAAGACTACGAGCGATGATGCAACTACTTGTTAGGCTATTGGACGTATTTACAAATAAAACGAAGATTTACAAAAGTGTCACATTCTTTTATTGACTAAATACAAACACAGAAAATAAATATGGCATACTCATCCTATACACCGTATACGCTAACACAACACAGAGAAGAGAAATGAGATAATCATGAGATGAGGTATATACACACGCGCGAATATGAGCAACATACGAAACAAATACTATAATTGGCGATCCTAGATGTCATTATTAATGATGTCCATAACCATGTCCTCCGTATCCGTGTCCTAGACCTAGATCACCATGGGCATAGGCGATTGGGGCTACAGCGATGGCCTTGTGGACAACCTGTGAACAAATAAAAATTGAAAACATTTATTGAAAAAAAAACAGCCCAAGAGTTAGAAAAAATAGGTCCTGTCGCTAGTCTACAGTGCTAGCTGTAGTTAACTTTCAGGTTTGGCTGTCATTTCAACTTGTCCCATCTTTTAATGATGAACATATTTATATTGCTGAAATCAGAAACCCAATGTCTCGAGAACTACAAATTTTAATTTAAAAAGTATTAGGGGACCGAAATTGTATGTAGTGTGCATTTACAGATACGATAACAGCAGCTGCCGTTTTGAAAATGTCAAAATACCAGTGACAGAAAAATGTTCAAGTCAATTCAAAATCATTTAAAAGGGCAAGGGTTGTACTTTGAGATGATGTTTAGGTTGGGATATTTCGGAAACTAGAGCCGTATAGTCTGGTTTTTGGGTAATAGGGTCGATTCACTTTGTCGCCCTGTGTTGTCAGCATGAAAACCAAGCGACAAATTTCAGATGCTACATTAATCTTTCTCTCCCATATTTTGGAAATATTCTACACTCTAACTAAATTAAAATGTATTACCTGTGGGTGGTGTGCATGTCCAGTCCTTGTTACAACCGCGTTGAAACCGTTGTGGTCGTCAGCAGTGTAGTGGACAGTCCTTAAGGTACCGTCAGGTTCGGCAACGGTGTAACTGCCCTTGACTACATCTCCGTCTCTGGATTCGTGCTGGCTCTTGTGGTCGCCGGTGTGTCCGTCAGCTACTCCGTAGTTGAATTCGTATTTAGGGTATGCCTGGAAAAATAAATTGAAAAAATTAATTTTCATATTGTTTGCCAGAGAATAGAAAAAATAATATTCTTGAAATTAATACTGATGACTTTTATACCATCAATCACTACCTTCGGTTAAGTAAAGATGATGCGTGTTCCCAGAAAAGGTACACACGTAAGACGCCGCTAGACGCAGAGCCTCTCAATACGAACGTCAGTCAGCGTATTGACATACTAGACGTTTGCATTGCCTATTCAAGTGGTGCTCGTTATTGCAGTGGTAACCGAAAGAATTTTTCGCAGATCTTTGTGCTAATGAAATTGAAAATCGGACTGCGATTTAGGACAAGCGTTCCAAGTTATTCAAATATGACAGTAAAAAAACGTCCCAATTTTATGCAACTCCGATGATACCAAAGGAAAAAAGAGGTTGTCCTAAATGCTTCGTTTATAATTAGTGATTACAATAAAGATAGTAGTTCCAACCATTCTACTTTGCCTGTCATTGACTTTACTGGCATTTTGGAGTAGTTAAAAAAATTGGTTCATATTTTTGAAGGCGGGACTAACCAAAATAAACTGACACGCGATTAACTAGTCTCACTCTATACAAAATTTGTACAAGCACGCGCCACCTCGACGTGACTGGCAATTGATATATTTTATGTGCCATTTGTCCGTTATAATGTAACAACCAGTAATGAGTTGCTACTCAGAAAAGCATATTTTTCAGTTGATGAGCTTACACTTTCAGGCTTTTTATTCATTACTACAATGGACATATCATCATAATTTTGTTTTATATATCGAAGCAGCCGCGTAGGCAGAAGCCTAAATGCTGGAACACCGAGAAGAACTACCTCTGAAGCGGGATGATTGATGTTCAGGAAGTCGATCTTGATGGCGAGGTATTCCAGTAGGTCATCTCAGTTATGGCCCGAAGGAGAGCGATAAAGGCAGCAAATAAATTTGGCCGATGTTTTGGAGTTGAGGCGAAGCCACAGAATGTCCTTCCGGTTGGATTCCAAAGAAAAATCTCTGGAGCAGGAAAGACTGCTGCGGACAAAGCTAAAACTCCCCCGTTCTTTCTCAGATTGGAGTGTATCTCGTAGTTTGGGAAGTTAAGACGGTTAATCGTTGCAGACTTCGAGATTTTTGTCTCCGCCAAGGAAATCATGGTGGGACGATTGGATTGTAGGTAGTGATGAACAGCATCAATGTTGCTGTTAATCTCGCAGCTGTTTGTAAAACAAATTTTATCTTCGATGTTGTTCCCTAGAGCCCACCCTCCACCCGGACATTCCGAGAGTGGAGTGAGTTTACGTCCGGAATTCTTAGTGCTCGAGGGATCCATCATCATTAGTTTCTTTGTTTTATAGCTTATGTGTGGAAACATGCGGACATTTATAAGACTCCCTGGGAAGAGCTAGCGGGTGGTACTGCCTCGGTCGACTGGTCCTTGCCTACCACCTTCTTCTTACGTGTTAGTGATATCAAAGAGACCTAAAGTGGCCCGTTGGCGGACTTGTACCACCTTCCGGCAATCGATACTCAGGTATTCCTTAACGCGTGTACAATCACTTGAACGGGAAGAAGTTGTATACTGGATACAACAATTTCCGGAAAAAGCATTTGCCACGGCCCCGCTCAGTAGGGACAACATTTATCAGCTATGTGTGAACAGTGTGATGCATCCGATGGTAACCTGTGTTCGGGCACGTTTATAAGAATCATTTCCATCTGTATAATGACCCTCATCAACAATTTGTAGAGCTGGTGAAACTAAGACAACTCATTATTGGAATTTTGATATACTTTTGGACTTAATGGTTTGTTTATTCAGGAATTTTTCGGCATATTTTTGAATATGACTTTCTTTTGACAAAGCCTATATAGCTCTTAGCGTTCTAACAGATCAGTTCAAGACCTTCTAAGAGCATTCCTTTGAGTCTGGTAGTCTTGTTTCCTTGACTGGGCTGCGTTCGTAAATTGTTACAGAGTGTACTTTGTACTACTCTGTATCAATTTTTGCGTTCGCAATTGTTTGAAGTACCTTACTTTACTTACGTTCGGAAATATAGCAAATTAATCCTTCTGAAATGTGAAAAGTGTGCTTTTTCTTCCTGAGCTCAAAACCCTGAGAATAAGGGTTCTGTCATTCGTCATTCTCATGGTTCATTGTTTGTTTATTTTATTTGGTTATCAAAAACTGCTCAAAAATGGCAGAATGTATGTATTTTATGATAAATGATACCTCGTATCCCTAGGGTCTCTTATAATAATTACAATGGTCGCAAACACGTGGTTAGAAATTATTCGGCTATCATCAAGTGTCATTACATGACTCTGCAATAATTTAAGCGTAAAAATAAAGTTCCACAGTATTCCAGAGTAAAATTTCATCTGTCAATCTACATTCCTTTACCAAGTAATTTACAAATGCAGCCCTCTTGGTGATGTTAAATGCATGTAAGAAATCAACTATTATGCATGGTTTGTTATGCAATTGTCACATACATTAGTTTACATAAGTTTACATATGTAACTTTTTATAAAATGCGTGAAGCCATAATTCCGACATATAGAAGTACGAGTATAATAATAAGATTATTCAATTGTATTTAGAAATCCTGGTTTCAAAATACGTGTTAGTATCCATAGGTACCATATGGTTTTACGAGCATACATGTTTATTTTTATGGATAGCTGTCAACAACTTCCTAATGAAGACGTGACGTAATCGTATAATCCTGTTGCTGAAGGACAATTTCATATTTTTGAGGAACATATCAATGCTGCAGTTTTCAGTTTATCATATTAATTTACGAGGTATTAAGATCTTGGACAATAGCTTTGTTTATAATAATATTGAAAGAATTTCTAAAAATAGAGCCTCTTGAGATTCCATTATGTGTGAATTGATCATTTCTTTTAAAAGTCCAAATAGCGATTGCCTTTTTGGATTTTGAATAAATTGAATAAAATGTTAAATTATATGCTTTAATGTTTATATGTTACAAAAAAAACTCATAACTGTTTTTGTCTAAAAAATCAGTCAAATGAATTTTTGGCTAAAGACGTTAGTGAAAACCATTTTTATCCTCAAAAATATAGGGCATTTTGACTGAACTATATCGCTAAAAAGTGATTTTGACTTATAATGTAAGTCAAAACTAAATCGCTTATTTATTAAAAAAATTAAAATTGTAAAAAGCCACAGACTCGAAAAGCTCTATCGTCTATAGATTAACAGAATAAAATGGCTTCACCCTACAAAAAAATGTGTTTCTACATGTTTCAGGTTCACACGTCTCGTACAATGTCAATTTTTATATGGACAAGGAACTTGAGCATTTCACCTTAAAAATAGCTGAACATAAAGCTTTCCGATCATTTTTTCTGGTGATTATCACCAACCTTCTTATGACTATAGTCTGAAGTCAGACAAAACCGTTTGACGAAGAACGTCGGTCAAAATCACTTTTGACTGAGAACGTAGCTTAGGACCACTTTTTTCTGCAAAAATCAGTCAGAAATTTTGTTGACTAATGTCCTCGGTCAAAAACAGTTTTGACTGGTAGTAAGTTTTGACTGTTACATATGCTATGTACGGTATAATACTATACAGGGTGTTTCAGTTTATTGTTGCATAACTTTAAGATTCGATAGAACTTTTAAAATTAATGCATAAAGTCTATATAAACATGGGTCGAAAAATGCGTGGCTTCCGAAATACAGGGTGTTTCAATTTACTTTCTAAAATAGTTTTTTTGAAATATTTCGAACAATATTTGATGTATAACAGTGAAAATTGGTATACAAGGTTCTTTTGGTACGACAAAACGTAGTTTTACTGTAGCCGCTAGAGGACGCTCTCTACTGTACCTGTAGTGTATTAAAATGAACGAAAATTTTTTCTTAGTGCAATTTTTTGCTTTTTGAATAAAAAAACTGATTCTTCGCACTTTTCAACGTAAAAAGCTCTCTTGTGAATTTTCGTTATAGTTAGCCGTTTTTGAAATATTTCGATTTTTAAGGTTCGATGCATTTTCAATTATTTATGATAAAATAACGTTAAAAAGTCAGTATCTCGATAATTTTTAGAAGTAGGCTGTGCCTGCAAATATTTTTGAAATTGAAAGCAGAATAAGGTTAAACGTCAATTAGTTGACAGTTAGTTTTGTTGTCTGTTGAAACCTGAAACGTTTTTTTGCAATTGTGAATGTACAAAATTTTGTTACTTTTACCTGTTTTTTTTGTAAGTTTTATAAAAATGCCATTTTGGCTTTGTAAATGGAAACGCAGCAGAAGCAGCCAAAGAATACGCACGAAGATTTCCCAACAGACGACATCCAACTCGCTCAGTATTTGTAAGAGTGCATCGCCAAATAATTGAAAATGGTTTTGGATATCGGCAAAGGGATCAAAACATAAATGTTCGTCAGCGCAGATTTACCCGTATGATTCTGCGTGAGTTTGATAGACATCCGACCACAGGTGTTAGGAGAGTTTCTGGTTCCTTGGGAATTTCAGCAAGCCATGTTCACCGTGTTCTTGGAAATGACCATAGACGTCCTTACCATTTGCAACCTGTGCATGGACTACATCCAGGGGACGGAGAACGAAGAATCACATTTTGTCAGTGGATTCTTGATAGAACTGATAATAATAGGGAGTTTTCAGGTAACGTTTTATGGACGGATGAGTCATGCTTCACTAGACGTGGAGTGGTAAATTTTCACAATCAACATACTTGGTCGCATGAAAATCCGCATGCAGTTCGGGAAAGAAATTTTCAGCATGAATTTAGTGTGAACCTGTGGATTGGTATCTACCTTAATCGACTATTTGGACCCTACCTTTTGCCTGCAAGGTTAAATACTGCGACCTTCTTGGAATTTTTAAAGGCTGAACATGCAAATATGTGGGATGATGTTATGTTAGATTTAAGAAGATTGGCCTGGTCCCAGCTTGATGGTTGTCCAGCTCATTATTCGAGAATAGTTAGAAACTGGCTGGACGAAAATTATCCAGAAAGATGGATCGGCCGTGGATGATCAGTCACCTGGCCTCCACGATCCCCTGACCTAAATCCATTAGATTTCTTTGTGTGGGGATTTCTAAAAGAAAAAGTGTACCAGACTCCTGTAACCACAAGAGATATGCTAATAGACAGAATCAGGAATGCATGTGATGAAATAAGGCCTTATTTGAAGAATGCTATACCACGTTCGATCATTCGTAGATGTGAATTGTGTATTGAACAATTGGGTTTACATTTCGAGCAACTACTTTAGATTTTGTATGTTTGTCCTAACTATCCAATAGCATTTTAGTTGTAAATAATTAATTTAATTTGTTAAAAATAATATTGGAAAATTAAACAAATTAATATTTTGTTTTTTTGTGCTTATTTGGAGTTAGGAATTATTGCTGTGTTTAAAAACACAATATAAACAATCATCTTAATTACTTGTAATGCCCAAAGCGAAAATGTAAAAAAAATATTATTTTCCCATAAATAATTGAAAATGCATCGAACCTTAGAAGTCGAAATATCTCAAAAACGGCTAACTATAACGAAAACTCACAGGAGAGCTTTTTTATGTTGAAAAATGCGAAGAATAATTTTTTTTAATCAAAAAGCAAAAATTTGCACTAAGAAAAAATTTTCGGTCATTTTAATACACAACAGGTACAGTAGAGAGAGCCCTCTAGCGGCTACAGTAAAACTTTGTCCCACCAAAAAACCCTTATATACCAATTTTCACTGTTATACATCAAATATTGTTCGAAATATTTAAAAAAAACTATTTTAATAAGTAAATTTAAACACCCTGTATTTCGGAAGCCACGCATTTTTCGACCCGTGTTTATATAGACTTTATGCATTAATTTTAAAAGTTCCATCGAATCTTAAAGTTATGCTGTAAACTGAAACACCCTGTATAGTTGAGTTACTCTATTGAAAACAATATCTAATATTATAGTTGACTTTTGTGGAGTTTAAGTAATGGTATATATTTCAAGAATCGATTTTGTTTGGCAGACTACGTTTTATTGAAAAATACTTACATAGTAGTCGACGGAGTGGTGAACAGGTGCCGCGACAGCAACGGGGGCAGCTACAATAGCAGCTCCATGGCCCAGACCATGGCCATAACCATGTCCGGCTCCAATAAAGCCTGCCTGCGTGCATGCCACTAGGGCGAATAAAGCGACGATCTGGAAACAAGCACATGAGACTGTAAAGGGTGTCCCAAGATTCAAGCAAGGTTTGTATTATACATAAAACGAGGTTTTTCTTTTTTACACAATTATTTGTTTCATGTATCATAAAGTGTACTTTGAGGTCATGTGTGGAACAGCATATCGGGTAAACGGCCTGGTATATCTGAACAATTAGTTACTGCATCAGACAAAAGTCTATGCTAATAAGCTTACAGGCACTCGTGTATTGAAAGAAGAAGCTCAACAAAATTCAGCAACATTCATGCCATATGTGTTGATCTATACACAGCACTATCCTATGTACTTTATGATTCAGTCCAAAATAACAATCTTAAGAAAAAAAAGTTTGAAACACCCTGTACAAACTAAGATAAAGCCCTAAATTTTGCATGCAAAGCAAATGCTGATATACTAAGTTCAAGGGACTTAGACAAGCTTCAGGAATGTTTTTAATTACAAGGTACATAAAAACATTTTTTAAGCATTATTAGGGAGGTTGCATTGATGATTCTAGAAAATTTTGTTGAAGAATATTATATCTATCAACGGCATTATTCATAGTGACTTCTGGAGTCATTAGTGGTGGTAGTGTGGTATGGGGGCGAAACCTGGAAACTAGGCCACCTTTGACCCTTTTTGCCTACCCCGTTGTACCAACACTGTACTACTCCGCATTCTATCTACTGGTAAATGATTATTTAGACAACCAGCTCCAGCTGTCAACATTTCTAGGAGCAGAAGGTGCATGTAATAATAACAGAGCATTTTTCTCATAATACACCATGTCAAAGCCAATAATATTGTGAAATCCTACTACAATAACTGAACCGATGAAACACGAATATATTGAAATAGCATCAGACAGATAATTAATGTAAAATTAATTATTTAACTAAAAATGCAATAACTGCTTCAACAACAGTGGCGTAGGATATTTTTTTCTTTTGGTTAGGGGTTGATGCATCCCAGTTTGTGCTGCAACTGCTGTGCTTTGAGTTACTAATATTTTTTTATGTATTGGTTATGCTGTCTGTACTACATATAAGAAAGGAAACTTGTTCTAAAAACCCATGTTTTTAGAAGCTTTACATGTTTTTTAATTACCCTCTGTCCTAGAAGTATTATCACTATTTTGGAATCACCATGTATACAAAAATACATGTTTGAGCTGTTCGATTGGCCAAATGAAATTGAGGTAATATCTAGCGAAACCGTCATGGCCAGTTAAGTCAGCAGCATCCCAAATGTGTTACCCCATAAGCGAAGTATTTCTAGTTGATCACTTTCCATGATTTTCAGTTCAATAATTCTTACAGTAACATAGAACGATGTATCATATTAGTAACAATACCTCCCTTTTGAAACTAGATCCCGAAAACTCAAGGTAGCAGAAATGGTTGATTTAAAAACTTGCAATTTAAACCACCCACCAGTGTAGAAAAGTATAGTAAGTAAGAAAAATCAGTTCTTTTGAACCCCTTTGTTATTTTGCTAAATAGGTATTACAATTCCAATAAACATACAGACCCCAACAACCAAGCAAATATCACCAGTCTTTAAACAGTAACAAACACAAGATTACAATCTGACATAATACTATCTATCACTTCATACCAAAATAATAGTGATTTTAATTGTACAATAATACAACAATGCATTTCTGACAGTTGAAAGTTGAAATTTACACACCTTGAAATTAATTTGAATGGGTAACAAATTTGACAGATAGCCAGACATAAGATCAACTCTGACTAAAGCTCGCTACTGATAGTACATGTATCATCACTTCGATGGTTTGTCAAAAATTGGTATCTCATCGACTAGATACACAGCGTCATTTTCATCAGGAAACAAATGGCGAATCAACATTTTTTCTAATTAATCGATTTGATGTGTCGACGCACCGCACTTTTCCCATAAACAACGAAATTCGTTATCACGCACCATCTGTAGCGGGCTTTAGTATCAAAAAACCAACACCAGTCACCATATAAATCACAATAATCACCACCATCCCCTGAACCACGCACCTTAGCGAACATGATGATCTCCCTGCACACCGACGGTATGAGACTACTAGGGGGTACCAGAACACACCCATCTTATATACAGACGTTTTCCCTGTCCGTTCACCACGAGCGAAAAAATCAAGGGGGCCCGAGTCCGCAGCGCGTCCCCCCTCGGCCCCCCGGTGCGGTATGCAGTTGCGACAATGCCTACTCTGATTAAATGGCCGCTCCGGTATGGGGCAAGGTCCCGGAAAGGATAATTGCAGCCGGCTGTCGGTGTGTGGTCACTAATTTCTTTTAAATGGAGATAGGCTTACGGCAAATAACGACAGAATATATAGTATATATTATTTTAATATATAATATACAGTTTTAGTACCGACTCAAATAGTACAATAAATAATAATTAAAATAATATTTGGAAAGGAAACGATAACCGTTGAGGAAGTCAGGTTTTGAAATGTGGGAGTAGACTTTCTGACCGAAAGTGAACGTGGTTATATTACTTTTCCAGGAACTGCATCCCTGAACATGCTTAGAATAGCCGCTTTCCGGGAGATATAGTCTTGCTATTCATCAGCTTCATCTCTAAACATAAAGTAATCTTTGTGATGAAACTTTTGATAATATGAAAAATCTGAGAACATATTATTTTGCCGAAAATGGATGTATTCTCAAACTTGTTCGATAAACGATGAGCAGCTATTATAATTTTTGATCATTACTCAGGGTGCTCACTATTTTGCTATGCTTGAGAATTTTCATTGTGTTAAAGATGTTGCCACGAGTGACTATCCTTACACGCCCCAGCTCGCTAGCTTAAGAACAGATATCCTAAACCACATCCGCCGATGAGTATGCATATCAGCAATGGTGTATTCCCGCTCTGGATCAGAATCCCTCGGAGGTCTCCCTTGCTATTCTACCATGTGCGGAGACCAGCTGCGATCTTCAGTACCAACTCTTTTATACTTTTATTTTCAGTACACTCTTTCTTCGTGATTTTTTGCGAGTTACTTCTTTAGCAGCCCTTTACCGCGCAGAGGCTGCTCAGCCCCGAACAACTAGCCCCCAGTAGTTGGCACTACCCAACTAGTTTTTATAATCAATAAGATCCCCACTTCTCCTTGAAATCTTTGAACCTCTTCAGTTTTCGTTGTATTTCATGGGATCTCCCTCAATTTTCACCTAACAAAATCGGAAAATGTAACAAAAATCAGCGTAATCAGAAACTCTGATCTATAATTAACAATCATGATAGAAACGTGACGCGTGTGTATGCGCAGATACACAGATTGTTTTAATCTTTTTTATTTTAGCCCGCTGGCTATACTTAAAAATCGAGCCGACAAAATAGCAATGAAAATAGTACCAAAACAGATTGCGAACAAGTGCTAATGCTGACGAGTCAAAGAGCTGTTTAGAAAAATGTTCTCTTCTTCTTCTTAAGAATCGCGTTAGATCTTTTATGAGCTCTACCTGGAAAAAAAGATGATTTTTGTAACTATGTTTATTCTTCCTTTGAGTTTAATATACATGTATAGTATTTCTTCCAGCGATTTTCTATTTGATTTATTCCTTCCCTAAAGCGATTTCCTGAAGACTCTTCAAAATGCAAGTCTACGACTTCTTGCGCTTTAGCCTTCTAAAGTATGGTAAATCAATTTGCTCTCGCTTACACATTTGGCAAAATTTGTCAGCAGTGAGCCTCTCACCAAGCCTTAATTCCAACTGTCTCTTATAGCCAACCCATCTAACATATTCGAGTAGATGATTCCATTGCTCTTCCCGTTTAACGAAGAACGCATCTCTTTCGCTGTTTTTGGCTCCACCACTTTCCTTATATATAGAGCGCATTGACCATAACAGTAATACCTATTTTATTGAAGAGTACATAAATAATATACGGCTGTACCACAATCAGCCCCAGAAAGCTAGCAAAACCTGATCCCCTTCAACTATAACTGTAGGCAATACATATTTTTATTTATTGAAAATGATTTATTATGACTGATCTAACATCCATCAACGTGGATATTCCTAATTTAATGCTTGAGTTGTCGTGATTATTATAGCGAATACATACATATATGCTCCAAAAAGAATATCATACCATTAGTAGCATACTATTATTGCATAACACTGCACTCGCTCTTAATACATGTTGCTCAATTTTCTGCTAGACACTCAGACCTATACATAAAAAAAATAATTGTTGTGTTTTTTATACCATCAACCTACGCAAACATGCTATGAATTTTATTGCTAAAGAACGCAAGTGGAGTGATTGGAAGTACTTGAATACAATCTGATATCTGATGAACGTACTGGTCCAAAAAGAAATGCAATTAGGCTAGTTATCGCTTTCTTTCTATTTTCTATTATCATTGGTACATTAATACAATGAAATCAGAGGAAATTAATTATATTATAGGAATAGCATAGTATCTTTTCATTATATTTATTCGAAAATGGGTTGATTTTGGAAGAGAACATCTAAAATTGACAAGCTTGGGCTTATGTTGATGGAAGTTGAAAATACATAAGCCCTAATATATTTAATTTTTTTTAGTGGTTGAAACTTGGAGGTTGGGGGTTCTGTACAACAGACACTTACTGACAAACCGACATCAATGAGAAAAACGGACTTGTGTGATGCAGATATTTTTAAGCAACAGTAAACATATACACCGAAGTTTTTCGCGAGTTTACTTCCATCGTTTTGAAAATCAGGCATTGTTTGGAGGGGATGGAAATTGTAGGTTGGAATCTGTATGCGGTAAATGGTTGTAAATTGATGCATATTTTTTTATTTTTTATACCGAAGCAGCCGCGCAGGCAGAATTCTAAAATTTTGTTAATCCGAATTTTGACATGCCTAAGGTTAGTACAACTGGGAAAAGCTTCCTCTTGCTGATTTTTCCACAATCTCGATACCCTAGGGTCATGTCGGCCAGTCCTGGTTTTACAAAGTTCAACCCGGTTGGGATGGAACGCCGAAGTCACTCGGGTCTGTCTGGCAGGCACATCGCGCGGCGGGATCATGGAAGAGAGCTCTGATGAGCAAAGCCCGTTGGTGTAGCGGTAGAAGAGAGCTAGATCGTCAATTTAGTGTTAATGAAAGACCTTTTGTTTCCAAGAAGCTGCTGATCTCAATAACACTATGCACCTGTTAGTCATAATAAGTCATACATATTTTCCCTAAATCTGCCATGGAACCAGAAATATGATAGATTTGCCTTATATAGTTTGATATGCAAAGGTCAAAGATTCATTCTATCTAAGTTAACCTACCAAATTACGATTCAATTTCGGTTTGACTCACCCATTTTCTTTGAAACCTCCAACGAAAGCGTATTGAGTAAGTAAAGTATTGAGTCAACCTGTTTGACGCCATTTCTTTAAAACTTAGATGACCTAGTGATCCTTCCACTACGTACGTCCCTGTGCTCTGGCAACAGTAATCTTCCACAAACACAGGAAACATTTTTAGGGTGAAAAGGTAGGTAAAAAGGAAATGAAATCAATAAATCAAAATCCGTAAGATTGATAATTGAAGAGCGGCTTCATCCGTGCTTCTGAGAGTGAATGCATTTGTGACAATTGAAGGGGCTACTGAGAGCGGGGGACTTCACTAGTGCTTCTGACAGCGAATGCCCTCGCTATAAAATTTTTCTGCGTATCTTTCTTTTGCCAGTTATTTTTTTTAGGAGGACTCTTTCTCAGTTCCCGCCATGGATCCGCTACTGAACAAACTCAATCCATAACAATGACAATGTTAATTGTCGGATCCTTAGTTGAACTGTGATGTATGCGATATCACCTATTTTGTAAGACTCCCACAATAGCGATTAAGAAATATGCATATATGTGCTTAGAAATGAAAACATCAACTAGCAGGTAGCGGACAGTCAGACGAATTTTCCCCGCGGAAGTAGACAAACGCAAGTGTATCAAACGCTTCACTGAATATTAAGCCACATGTATGGTTTCTTACATAATTTGAGTATCTAATAAAATGCGTCTTATTCGCTCTTTGAGAATTAATGTGGTATTATGTGTGTAAATGTAATTGAAACTGAATTCCCTCTTTGAATGCCTCAAGCAGGTATAGACGCTCAGTGTAGTGCAGGCATTTGATATTCTTTTTGCGGTGATATGTCGCTAAAGAAGTTTAGTGCAGCCACACCTACCATGATGCACCTTTAGATTCAGTTCATATAGTACTAAAGAAAGGATCACTAGGGAACAAATAAAAGAACGATAAAACTGTAAACTCAAATAGTACATTTATTCATCAGGTGGTACAAAAACAGATCAATTCTGAATCAGCTTTACATTCACTAACTACGAGTTGAGACAGATGGATGCCCTAAAATGTCTCTTGTCTTGAAACTATAGATTTGGTAATGCAGGATCAAGAAGTTTGTAAATGCTTGACATTAAGTCAAGTTGAACAGTAAAGAAAATCAAGTCAAGTAGAACATTAAAGCTTTAAGTGACTCTATTTTCAAATCAAACTACTTGAATTGATGAATCCCTAAAGGTTACCTACACCCATGTTTCTCTAAATATGTTTAATTTCAGCTTCAACATAGGTTTCGACGTAATTTGAAAAACCTGTTGACAATGGACAAGTATATTTTTGGAACATTAAAATAGGTATGTTGCCGCAGAGACGTCTTGGGGGTCATTTGTGCTTACGGAGGTATTTTTGCTCACATAGATTGATTGGATGACATTAGAAATTGCTGATTATCAAATACTGACTATCGACGAAAGCGCCTAAATTTTGGCCTCTGAATATCCGGAATCAGCTTAGCTATCAAAAAATTCTGAAAAAATGTATTCATTCATCACAACGGGGTCATATATTAATTTTTCAGATATAGGCACATATGTTCGACTTTTTTCAATATCTGGTATTTGGTATTCGACCGAAAAGTTTGCAGTATTCGAATGAGCATCGAATATTAAAAAAGATAGTCGAATAGGCAAAATACCGAAGCGTAACATAATACTCATGTTACATCTAGTTGAGTTA